CTCCGTGGAGGAGCCAATCAGCTAGATGTTGCTGGGGCCGCTGTGAGCCAATCATCAGCTGACAGTCTGAAGGGCAGGGAAACAGCCCAATGAACATCACCGCAGAGGAGCCAATAAGCTAGATGTTGCTGGGGCAGAGGAGCCAATAAGCTAGATGTTGCTGGGGCCGCTGTGAGCCAATCATCAGCTGTCAGCTGGAAGTTTGCTGGTAGCTGGAAGTTTGCTGGGCCCCCTTTGGCTGTGGCTCTCAACAAGCTGCTGTCTTCGCCCCCCCTTGTGCGACCTTTGTCACTTTCTTCTCTTTAAAATGTTTGCTGGGGTGGGCTGGCCAGCTCAGGGAGATGTGTGACTGCCTCTGTTGTGACCTGCAGGGTGTCACCTACTGTGGAGAGAGCGCGGCCAGCAGTCTCACCATGGCCAACGTGCCCTGGCACGAGGAGGTGGTACGCTTCGTCCGTGAGTTGGTGGGTCTGATCCCCGACTACGAGATTGCCTGTGAGCACGAGCACTCCAACTGCCTCCTGGTAGCGCACAGACGGGTAAGCTTACCCCGCCTGCTCAGCCCCTCCTCCTCCCATCTCTCTCCCCTCCCTGCCCCGCCTCCCTGGTGTGTGTGTGTGTGTGTGTGTGTGTGTGTGTGTGTGTGTGTAGGTGTGGGGGGGGCTGCCTGTCTGCAGCCCTCCTAAGCCTGACAGGAAGGAAGCCCTGCATTCTGCTTCTCAGGTTCTTAGGCTCTTCTCGGTGTGAGATGGCTTCTGTTTTTAGCCCTCGTCTAGACATCTTGAAGTGCTCCCTGGTTTGTAATTTTTAGAAAAGTACATGCTGAAAAAAACAGAAGCAAAACACCCTTGTTGTAACCTCCCGTCCCTTCCCTGTCATGACCTCCCGTCCCTTCCCAGGCGACAGGGAAAGCAACAGTAGTGAGCAGCCCCCGTGTGCGTTCGGCTGTCAGAAGGCACCAGAGTGTTCATCAAGTTTCTGATTGCTTTGGATTTTGACATCTGGAGAATTCTATCTGAGGTTTAGTTCATGACACTATTTGTGTTTTTTCTCTTGAGCACTTTTATTAGGACCAGTGCCTCATCTAGTACCTTTTTTAAGTGAAAAGGAAAAGGCAGCGTGGGTGGAGGTGGCCACTAGGAGAAGACACCTGTTGGAAGACCAGCATCTGTGCAGCTGCCCCACCTTGTATCCTTGCCGAGGTTGCAGGCAGCAGTGGGGTGTCTGCCCGTGGGTCCAGCAAGCCCAGGGTTCAGCAGTTGTGGGTAGGGGCTGGAGAGTGTGCTGAGGCTGGGTGGCGGATGCCTGAAGGTTCCATGGTGTTCGGCTCAGTTTTCTGTTCAAATTCTCCACCGAAGAAATGCTGTTTTAAAAAGGGTCATGGATAAACCTTGAAAACATGATTTTTAGCTGAAAAATGGCAGATACGGAAGGCCATGTGTAGGAAGCAGCCAGACCAGGCAGCTGGGGTCCTGGGTGATGAGCTGCTCTGAAACCTCATGGTGCTGCACAGCATTGCGGGTATGAGGGACCACTGAGGGCTGCGTGGGAAGGGCTGGCTCTGCAGGCGTGTGCTCCACGGCAAGAGCAGCCTGGCACCAAGAAAGGCAAGGAGCCGGCGTCGGCTGCCCCCTCGGGTCCCCGCAAGGTTTCCCAGGTTAATGGGTTTAGCGACGTGAGACCCCATCCGTTGAGACTCCACACACTCTAGTCTCAGCTCAGTCTGAGGCTGAAAGCCCTCGTGGGCTGATTTGTGTGTCTGAGCTGTGGCCCGTCAAAGGCATGACCGCTCAGAATGAGTAGGTCCAGGAGCTTCAAGTATTGGAATGTTGACGTAGCTGTGGAGACAACTGGTGCACCAAGTAGCTCGTAAAGAGGAGAGGCAGAGGAGCCAGGGCAGGCCTGCGTTATCTATATTCTCCAGTATCCGTGGGTGAGGTGTTGCTCAGTCACCAGGAATACAGAGTCAAGCCCAAAACATCCCGCTTCAAAATGGTCTAACAGAGAGATAGCATGCCTGCTGGTGGTACCAGAGCTGTGGCAGAGCTGAGGGGGGCCTCTTGAGCTGGGCCTGGGGATGGCCAAGGAAGGCAGCTGCTTACCAGGAACCTGTGCGGCGGGAACCATGGAGACTCTGGAGGTCCAGAGCAGGTGGTGGGAGAGGTAGGCACACTTAAGTGGGCCGAGGCTGTGGAGCCTCCCAGTGCCAGGTGGGCTGTGGGTGGAATGCAGGGCTGGGTGGGAGGGGTTTTAAGGGTTGGGTGAGGGTGCAGTCTGGGTGCAGGGGCACCAGCCAGGGTGGTGGGGGTCATGGCATTGTCTGCGTGTTTGTGTCTGCACCATTGTGGCATTGTCTGCTGTGTTTGTGTCTTATTTGTTTGGGAACGTGGTGAGGACAGAGAGGCTGCACGTGGGCTGCAATGTCAACTCAGATACCAGCTGGGAATGAGGTAGCAGATGGTGGGAGGCCATGAGGAGGGTGCCCCAGAGGGCTTGAGATACCTGCAGGGCCAGGCACAGCCTGGCACAGAGGTTCCCACGCCTTCTCACTTGAGGTTCACCTGGGCCCCTGGAACTTCTTCACAAGCACGTTCATTTTCAGGTGGAGGCAGCTTCGAGCCCTGTTAGGAAGGTTTGTAGTCGGCTCTGTGCTTTCCCTCTACTGGTCTGACTCTGAGCCAGAGCTTGGTGCATGCACAGAAGCCAGTTCTGTGGCCCTGGTTTTTAGAAAGAAGGAGCTTTGTTGAAGGTTAACTAACAAGAAACAGAAGACTTACTTAGGTCCCTCGAGGAGAGTTTCCAGGGCTTGGGGACCTAATGGGGCTCTGTGCCTGGAACTGGATTGAGGGAGCTGCCTTGTTCCTGCCAGGGTGGCAGCCCGAACCCCACCCCCCAGCCCCCTCTGATAGCTTGCTGGGGAAGGCGGGCCACCTCGTTCTGCTGCCCACATGGCCTCCTCTGATACCACGGGGCAGGGTGGAGGCCTCATGATGCTGGACTCTCCACTCAGCTCCTTGGCCTCTGGTATGTGGGATCTCCTGGTGCTGCAGGGGAGGGGTGGAGGTCCAACTCCTGCCCCCAGTGGGTTTCACCATGCCGCTGCTGGGAGAAGGGCAGGGTTCCCTGCACTCTCTCTACACCTCCCAGCAGGGGGGTGGGCAGAGGCCAGCTGTCCTCTTGGCCTGGGTGTAGTGTTCTCTCTTGCTGGGCTGCCCTCTTTTTCTCTTTGGCCAGAGAGAGAAGTGTCTGTGGGGATGTTGTGTTTCGATCATGTCCACTGTGCTTCTGCACCATCTCCAAGGCCCACTCTGGGATACACGAGCCCAAAGCATGGGCTGAGAGGCTCCTCCTCCTGCTATTGCGCAGCCCCGCTCCCTGGCCTGTGGCCTCCACCTCTGCCTCCACTGTGTGGAGTCTGCGGAGCTCCCAGGAAGACCCAGCAGAAGGGCTCTGCTGCCCCTGGGCGGACCCAGCTGCCTTCCCCTGCGGTCTGGGTTTCCATCTCCCCAGTGAACACTCTCCTATTTAATATGCCGTATTAGTTGACTAGCAGAAATAAGGATATTGCCATAAAATGGAACTTTGAAAATTCTCCAGTTGTGGCACTTCCTTTTTTATTCATTTCAAAAATTAAAACACTTTCTGATCCAGGAGAGCATGTAGTCCAAAATGTAAGATGAGTTTTTAAAGAAAAAAAATTCTACAGGGATCCCAGGCCTTGGTTAATATTTACATTTAGATGACCTTCAGAGATCCTGCATGAAGTTTGCAGGAGTAGCAAAGGTGTAGTCTCCAGAGCGCCTTTTAGGATCTGTGCAGCCCGTCAGTGCCCAGATCGCCCCCTGGTGGCGGGGAGAGCCGCCTGCTGCACCACAGGCCAGTCTCCCTGGCTGCAGTGAGTGCCCTTCAGTAAGTAGCTGGTCTCCAGAGCAGCCATCCTGCCCCTTGCTCACACTGCAGGCCTGTGGGAGTGTTGCTGCTGGCAAGAGGCAGGCTCATTGGGGACCCAAAGCAGAACCCTTGTGGCACTCAGTGAGCGCGTCTGGCCTCACAGCAGAAAGGCAGGCAGCTTGGCGTTCAGGTGGGGAAACCCGCGGAACTTGGTTCATGGTCATCAGACTACAATGAATCCAACAAACCCTGGTAGTTTCAGTTCAGAAACACTGCATTCCTCTCCACATGTTGGTGACCACAGCCTGTTTTAGTGGCTCTCTGCCACGGAAGCCAAGGCCCTGGTGAGGGGCACACGTGCAGAAGTCTTGTGGTGGTTTTTGAAGACTTGATTGCTTATTTTAAAAAACAGACTTTACATTTTAGAGCAGCTTTTTATTTATAGAGAGATTAAGAATATAGACTGATGGCCACATTACCAAAAGCAGTATTCAGTTTCAGTTCAATCCCCATGAGAATGCAAAGGACATTCTTCACAGAACTAGGAAAAAGTAGTCCTAAAATTAATTTGGGAGAATAAAAGACCCAGAATAGACAAAGCAGTCCTGAGTAGGGGGCTCACAACACTTGATATTAAATTATGCCCCAGAGCTATGGTAACAAAACAGCATGGTGTTGGCATCATGGTAACATGACATGAAGACCCATGGAACAGAGCAGAGGAAAGGGACAGTCCACACACCTGGTGCTGGACAGAAATATAGGTTGGAGGAAAAAAACAACCTTTTACCAAATCACGTTGGTACAACTGGAAATCCATATGAGGAAGAATGAAACCTGATCCCTGCCTCTCACCTGCACAAAAGTCAAATCACTGTGGATCAAGTACCTCGGAATTAGATGAGGAGCCTTGCAACTGCGGGAAGGAAACATAGGGGGACCAACAGTCCATCATAGGTGTAGGACCAACTTCCTTACCAGACCCTTCTAGCTCAGGAGATAAACCAAGAATCATTAGTGGGTCGGCGTCCTGCACAGCAGAGGAAATGAGCATACAGAGAGAGAGAGAGCCTGTAATGGGGACGATCCTTGCCAGCTACAGGGGATTAATACCCAGACTACATGAAGAACTCAGAAAACCCCAAATAACCCAATCAGCATATAGGCAAAATAGCTGAATAGAAACTTCTTGAAAAAAGGAAAGCAAATGGTCAACGGATATAAAGAAACGTTCAGCATCTCTAGCACTCGGGGGACCGCATACCAAAGCCACACTGGATCTCCTCTCACTCCTGTCAGATAGATGGCAGTGGTCAGAAATACCACAATAAGAAGTGCTGGTGAGGATGTGGGCAGAGGTTCACGCCCACATCCTAGGTGGGCCTGCAAGTCCACACAGTCACCCTGGAAAGCACTAAGGGAGTCCTCAAAAAGCTAGGGATGCAACCACCTAGGGCCAGCTTCCCACCACTCAGTGTTCATCTAGACGACTACAGCATGCTGGAGGGACCCAGCCACTTCAGTATTTGTGGCAGCACTGCCCGTCACAGCCAAGGCATACAGAAGTTAAAAAGAAGAGCATGGCATGGACTTGTCCTGTGGTCAGCGTCTCGTGCTGGTGCTGGTGGTATGTTGGAGTCCTTGACCA